TGTGAAGCGTATACGCTCTTCAGAAGGTCCGCAACCCTCACCCAAGAAGACGATGACTTCTCGTCTGGTAGATCCTTCTACCTCTTATGCGGCTTGCGTTGGACAACAAACTGCAGAGAAACGACCAAGTACGGAGAAGGCTTCAACCTTCTCTGGAAAGGCGACCTCCAAGGCTCGTAGTCGACGACAGCGTAAGCCGTACGATAGACCAACTAAGGTAGCCACCGAAGAAGACCTTCTTGTGCAATCATAGACAAAGCTGATCCTCAGGGTAGAATCAATGAGAGTCATTGGTTGCTATTTGAAGGAGCCCTTCGGTCGGCTATCGTCTGTGGGACGGACCAAGGGGACCGACAGTTTGGTAGTGCCTTCATGCAGAAGGGTGCCAAAGTCATTAACTGTTTAAACAAGAAATCCAAGGATTTCCTTGTGGAAACCGTTAGTGGCTTTGGCGCGCTCTGGGAAGGAGCTAACCTTGCAGCGGTCTCCCTAGCAGAAATCCCAACATGTTCCAGTAATAGGCGTGGATTTTTTAAAGGTCCATTAACAGATTTTTTTAAAGGTCCATTAATAGGCGTGGATTTTTTAAAGGCTCATTAATAGCCGTGGATTTTTTAAAGGTCCATTAATAGCCGTGGATTTTTTAAAGACCCATTAATAGCCGTGGATTTTTTAAAGGTCCATTAATAGCCCTGGATTTTTTAAAGGCCCATTAATAGCCGCGGATTTTCTAAAGGTCCATTACTAGGTGTGGATTTTCTAAAGGCCCATTAATAGCCGTGGATTTTTTAAAGGTCCATTAACAGATTTTTTAAAGGTCCATTAATAGCCCTGGATTTTTTAAAGGTCCATTAATAGACGTGGATTTTTTAAAGGTCCAATAATAGGCGTGGATTTTTAAAGGTCCATTAATAGCCGTGGATTTTTTAAAGGTCCATTAATAGCCGTGGATTTTTTAAAGGTCCATTAAACATCCTAAATTAAAATAATTTTTTAAAAGTCCAGCCATACTTTTAAAAATTCCTTTCTAAAACACCGTACCACCCTCACCTACCCCTCCCTCAAAATTTAGCAACATTGACAGTAGACATAATTCATTTTGGATTCTCGTGGCAATACTTGTCTTACAATGTTTATTTTTTCTAAGCACGTCTAACAGAATAAACGTGCCGAGCAGCCAGACAGTCAGTCTGTCTGTCCGACTACCCACCACGTCAGCCAACATGTTGTTACAGAGGCCAAGTTCGGGCAGCTACAAAAGAGTTAAACCATAACGGCTTTTATCACTTTCCCGGTTGGATGGTTCGTTGGTTTGGTTAACAATTTAAATGGACGACAAAAAGGATAAAACAACGAGTTCAGAACAGCATAGAAATCCTTTGTACCACCGAACGGAACGGAGGCGCCACGACAAAAAACGAGGATAATGGGAAAGAAGGACAGGAGTAAACAAATAAAATTAATTATTTTTCTGTGAAAAATTTTAATAATATTAATTAAAGGCGGTATAAAGATAATGCGGATTTGCCAAAAGAGTTTTGTTAGTGTTGTTGTTTGGGTAGTTGTTATTGTTGTTTTTGTTATCGTTTCCAAATCTGCTAACAACGTTCCTCCGGACATGGATAATTTAATCATTTTGGTAAATTGTTGTTACAATTAAGCGATATGGCCAGCGTGGGAGAAATTATGCGAATAATTGTTCGTGTGGAGTGGGGGGAGGTGGAGAATTTTTGAGGGAAGTTTTATAAAATCAGATCTATGGAAGGAGGATAAAAGGGATTTACACAGTTAAAGGTGTAATGGAGCAGAAATGAAGGAGTTTTTTTTATTGAAAATCCACGTTAATATGTTTAAGAAATCCACGACTTCGAATGGAGTTTAAATATTTAAACCAGTATAGTCGTACGGGGCGGACCATACGATACCCTACACAACTACCATTGAACTCTAACTTTATGCGGATGTTTATTCCGAGCCTGGACAATATTTCGTGATATTTGCACCCTCTTGGCCGAATAGAGGTCAACTGACATATATTCCGAATATTACTAATATTCAGTACAGCCCTTCTAATTACTTATCCACATTCCTTTCACCGTGAGTTGTGTTGTGATGTTCCGATTATAATTATGGCCTATAGATCGACTCGAAAAAAACCAATGAATTAAGTTTTCGGTCTACTTCGTCCCAAAATTTGTATCTGATCATCGCCGAAAATTATAGGTGTTGTCCTTGACCATAACTGGAACATCTTGGAAAATTTCAAAGCGTTCAGCGCTATATTTCCGTCCTCTAGTGTGGTAATGGGTTACTAAATAATCTCTCAGTACGTAAACACATGTAAATATTTAAGTGTAACTCCCACATCTGAGTACATACGACCATATAATTGGTATTTGGTCCATTTCAGTCTTCATTGGCCATAACGCATCCTACATGCCAAATTTCGTGAAAATCGGTCCATAACTGTGGCCAGTATCGTGTTAACAAATTATAATGGGCAGACGAACGGACGGACGGATACACATGTCTAGATCGACTCAGCTAGTGGGTCTAGGAGCAATATTTCGCGGCGTTACAAACTTTTGGGGCAACACAAAGCTACAATACCCTGACAGCATAGTTGTGTTGGGTGGACCATTTAAAACTATTTTTAAACCAGTAAGAAATGTAGTAAAGTCGGGCGGGGCGACTATATGATAGCCTTCACCACTTTGGGTAAATACAAGATATTTATAGGGACTTTGGTGCACCATTTACCTTAAATCGGACGAAAATATATATGGGAGCTATATCTAAATCTGGACCGATTTTCACGAAACTTAACGCACATCATTCTAGACCCAATTCATTATGCTGTGCCAAATTTCGTGCAAATCGAAAGATATATAGGGATTTGGTGCACCATTTACCTTAAATCGGACGAAAATATATATGGGAGCTATATCTAAATCTGAACCGATTTTTACGAAACTTTGCACACATCAGTCCAGGATGACTTCATTACGCTGTGACAAATTTCGTCCAAATCGGAAGATATATAGGGATTTTGGTGCACCAATTACCTAAAATCGGGTGGAACTATATATGGGAGCTATATCTAAATCTGAACCGATTTTCATGAAATTTGGCAGACATCATTGTCGATCTTATTCATTACTCTGTGTCGTGCAAATCAAAAGATTTTCAGGGACTTTAGTGGACTGTTTACGTAAAATCGGGCGAAGCTATATAAGTGAGCTATATCTAAATCTGAACCGATTTTCATGAAACTTAGCACACACCATTCTAGACTTAATTTATTACGCTGTGCCAAATTTCGTGCAAATCGAAAGATATATAGGGTCTTTGGTGCACCATTTACCTTAAATCGGACGAAAATATATATGGGAGCTATATCTAAATCTGAACCGATTTTTACGAAACTTTGCACACATCAGTCCAGGCTAAGTTCAGTACGCTGTGAAAAATTTCGTGCAAATCAGAAGATTTTTAGGGATTTTGGTGCACCAATTACCTAAAATCGGGCGAAACTATATATGGGAGCTATATCTAAATCTGAACCTATTTTCAAGAAACTTGACGCACATCATTTAATTCAGTACGCTGTGCCAAATTTCGTGCAAATCGAAAGATATTTAGGGACTTTGGTACGCCATTTACTTTAAATCGGACGAAAATATATATGGGAGCTATATCCAAATTTGAACCGATTTTCAGGAAACTTAGCACACATCATTCTAGACCTGATTCAATACGCTATGCTAAATTTCGTGCAAGTCGAAAGATATATAGCGACCGTTTACATCAAATCGGACGAAAATATATATGGGAGCTATATCTAAATCTGAACCGATTTTTCCCAATTACAATAGGGTTTGTCCTTGGGGAGCTATATCTAAATCTGAACCGATTTTCATGAAATTTGGCAGACATCATTGTCGATCTTATTCATTACTCTGTGTCGTGCAAATCAAAAGATTTTCAGGGACATTAGTGGACTGTTTACGTAAAATCGGGCGAAGCTATATAAGTGAGCTATATCTAAATCTGAACCGATTTTCATGAAACTTAGCACACACCATTCTAGACTTAATTTATTACGCTGTGCCAAATTTCGTGCAAATCGAAAGATATATAGGGTCTTTGGTGCACCATTTACCTTAAATCGGACGAAAATATATATGGGAGCTATATCTAAATCTGAACCGATTTTTACGAAACTTTGCACACATCAGTCCAGGCTAAGTTCAGTACGCTGTGAAAAATTTCGTGCAAATCGGAAGATTTTTAGGGATTTTGGTGCACCAATTACCTAAAATCGGGCGAAACTATATATGGGAGCTATATCTAAATCTGAACCTATTTTCAAGAAACTTGACGCACATCATTTAATTCAGTACGCTGTGCCAAATTTCGTGCAAATCGAAAGATATTTAGGGACTTTGGTACGCCATTTACTTTAAATCGGACGAAAATATATATGGGAGCTATATCCAAATTTGAACCGATTTTCAGGAAACTTAGCACACATCATTCTAGACCTGATTCAATACGCTATGCTAAATTTCGTGCAAGTCGAAAGATATATAGCGACCGTTTACATCAAATCGGACGAAAATATATATGGGAGCTATATCTAAATCTGAACCGATTTTTCCCAATTACAATAGGGTTTGTCCTTGGGCCAAATAAGTGACCTATACCAAATTTCATACAATTCGGATTATAGATGCGACGTGTACTTTGTTTACAATTTAACATGGGCAGACAGACAGACAGACAGACAAACGGACGGACGGACATGCATAAATCGACTTAGAAAGTGATTCTATGCATATTCTCAAAAGGAACCATGGGTCTATCTCGATTAATTTTGCCTGTTACAAACATATGCACAAAGACATAATACCCTGTACCACAGTGTGGTGAAGGGTATACAAATCCACGGCTATGTGCAGACCTTAAAAATATTTAATAAAATTCTACTTAAAATGTTTCTACTCACCATTAACATTACCACCCAAACCGGCAGCTGCATTCTGACCCCATGGTGTGCCTGCAGAGGCGTGCAGACCACCTAATAAGCCATTAGCCGAATTTTGGCCACCAAGTCCAGCCTCAGCATGATAGCCGAAGAAGTTGACACCCACTTTGCCATCCTTAAAACTTATCAACTGCAAAGGAAAGAAAAGAAAAAAAAACGAAACAAAGAAAACAAAATTTAGAAGAAAATCGAACAAAGAAACGTGTAAAAAGTTTTCTGACAACCGCAAAAGCCAAATACCGCAAAAAAAACCTTTCCCCAAATATTTGTAATACAATAAACCATTAAATTGTTTTTTATTGTTTGGCTAAGAAGTCGATTTTTTGACCACAATGGCAATAATCGAAGATTTACAACTGGTCGAAGTAATGTCACTGGCGAATAGGGTAGGGGGGCTAAATCAAAGACAAGCAGCAGCAACATCAGCTATGTAATTCGATTACCAAGGCAACCCCCTCCCCCGCTGGCAAAGAAGAACAAGTGATAAAGTCATCGAAAGTTTCTACATCTGCCAGGAAACAAGCATCTGAGGACATTAGTAGTTATCGTCTGGAGGATTTGTAGTTTTTGTGACGCTCGCTCGTTCGCCGTCCTCCGTGGTCGAGGTGGAGAAAAACTTGTTCTCGTGTGTAGTTTTTAGGGGAAAGTTTTTCCATTGCATTCTAAGTACACTGATGAATGAGATAGCCGTTTGCTTTCCTATTGACTTTGTGGTCTATGGTGAAACTTCTAATCTATGGCTATGGTTTGGAAGTCCGGTCATGTGTGTGTGCGACATAGAAAACTATGTCACCGTTTGGTTTGATCTTTAATGAAGGTAATGGAGAAGAAATGATAAATTCAATATTGGTTCGTTAAAATGCAGTTCAATTGAAAATTTAAAAAAATCCACGCCTTTTGTGGGACCTTTAAATATTTTTTTAAAAAATCCATGCTTATTGTAGAACCTTGAAAAAATATTTTTAAATAAACTTTAGGTGGACCTTTGAAAATATTTTAAAAAATCCTTGTCTCGTTTTTAGCGAAGTTCCCTTTCCTTTCTTTCGAATATCTTTCTCTTATCCATTTTTACCCATTTCTGGCCAACAATTCGATTCGAAAGATAAATTGTTTTAAAACAAAATATTTAATTTAGAAAAAAATGTGATTTGTTGCAATTGTTTTGTTTTGTTTTTGGCACACATGGAGACATCGAGAGAGATTTCAAGTCATTACTCTTGGTGTCACTAAATTTGTTGCTTTGTCTTCATGATCTGAGAGACTATGACTTTCGATGGGAAGGAGTTTTTGGGTCCACATGTGTATTGAAAGAATGACAAAAAATAAGAGAATGAGCGAATGATGGTCCAAAAAATTAAAAAAAAAAAATGTTGTTGTTGTTTTTTTGTTGTGTTGGGGCTTTTTTTTTGACACCATTTCATTACGGTCAATTGTGGTGGCAACATGTGGCCAAAGCACCAAAGGCATCCAGACTAATTGCAACAACTGGTCATGTAACGGTGTGTGTGTGCTAGGGTTTCTGTGGATTCTGATATTGTTGTTGTATGGTCATGTTTTTTGCGGAATTAAATTAAATTAATTGGAAATTAAATTAAATAATTGCTTAAAATATCGAAGTCCAGTATAGTCCAGTATAGGGCCGACTATACGATACCCTACACAACTACCACAGAACTCTAACTTTCTGGAGATTTTTATTCCGAGCCTGTGTAATATTTCTAATTAATTGTACAGATTCCCTTCACCGTGGGTTGTGTTGTGACGTTCGGCTTATAATTGTGGCCTATATATCGATTCCAAAAAACACAAAAATTTAAGTTTTCGGCCAACTTCATCCCAAAATTATTATCTGATCGCCATCAAAAATTATAGGCGTTGTCCTTAATCATAACTGGAACCTCATGGAAAATTTCCAAGGGATCAGCGCTATATTTTCGTCCCCTAGTGTGGTAATGGGTTACTAAATAATATCTGAATAAGTAAGCTCCTGAAAATATTTACTTGTAACTTCCACATCCGATAATATAATTGGTATCAATTTAAAGGCCAACCACTCCTCTTGGATATACTTTCAACTTCTCGTGTCTATGTCCTTCAGGAGTAAATATATAGGCTATAGAGTACAAATTTTGTCACACAAAAGTCAGGGTCCATTTGACCAGCTAAATATTGACGGATCTTTATCAAAGCTGGCATGCTTATTCTTTGGCCCAATCCCCTCCTCCATGTAAAAATTCGAGATGTTTGGGCCATTATTACGGCCTCTGGAGCGACCAGAAAAACCGACAAAAATTAAGTTTTTGGTCCATTTCATCGCCTTTACCAAAAACAATAGGGGCCTTCATTGGCCAGAACCCATCCTACATGCAAAATTTCGTGAAGATTGGTCCATAACTGTGGTGTGTTTAAAAATTATAATGGACAGACGGACGGGCGGACACACATGTCTAGATCAACTCAGATAGTTGAGATATGACGATCGGTATACTTAAAGGAGGGTCTAGGACCAATATTTCGCGACGTTACAAACTCTTGGGGCTGCACAAAGCTATAATGTTGGGACTAAGAAATAATATTTTTCAACCAGTTAGGAAAGTTGTAAAGTTGGACTGGGCCGACTATATGATACTCTTCACCACTTTGGGTATATTCTACAAAATCACCTAACAGACTTTTCGAAACAACATTGACATGAAATTGAACGAAAGATTTATAAGAACTTTGGTGCACTATTTACCTTAAATCGGACGAAAATTTATATGGGTGCTATACCGAAATCTAAACCGATTTCCACGAAACTTAGCACAAATTATTATAGACTCCATTTAGAACGCTTTGCCAAATTTCGTGCAAATCGAAAGATATTTAGGGATTTTGGTACACCATTTACCTTAAATCGGACGGATATATATATATATATATATTGGAGCTATATCTAAATCTGAACTGATTTCCACGAAACTTAGCACACATCATTATAGACTCAATTTAGTACGCTATGCAAAATTTCGTGCAAATCGAAAGATATTTAGGGACTTTGGTGCACCATTTACCTTCAATCGGACGAAAATATATATGGGAGCTATATCGAAATCTGAACCGATTTTCACCAAACTTAGCGCACATTATTATAGTCTCCATATAGTACGCTGTGCCAAATTTCGTGGAAATGGAAATATATTTAGGGACCTTTGCTCACCATTTAACTTAAATCGGACGAAAATATATATGGGAGCTATATCTAAATCTTAACCGATTTCCACGAAACTTAGCACACATCTTTATAGACTCAATTTAGTATGCTATGTCAAATTTCTTGCAAATCGAAAGATATTTACGAACTTTTGTGCACCATTTACCTTAAATCGGACGAAAATATATATGGGAGCTATATCGAAATCTGAACCGATTTTCATGAAACTTAGCACACATTATAATAGATCCAATTTAGTATGCTATGTCAAATTTCGTGCAAATCGAAAGATATATAGGGACTTTGGCTCACCATTTACCTTAAATCGGACGAAAATATATATGGGAGCTATATCGAAATCTGAACCGATTTTCATGAAACTTAGCACACATTATAATAGACTCCACTTAGTACGCTGTGCCAAATTTCGTGCAAATCGAAAGGTATTTAGGGACTTTTGCTCACCATTTACCTTAAATCGGACCAAAATATATTTGGGAGCTATATCTAAATCTGAACCGATTTTTCCCAATTTCAATAGGGTTCGTCCTTGGGCCAAATAAATGAGCTGTGCCAAATTTCATCCAAATCGGATGATAATTGCGATCTGTACTTTGTTTACAATTCAACATCAACAGACGGACATGCATAAATCGACTCAGAAAGTGATTCTATGTATATTCTCAAAAGAAACCATGGGTCTATCTGCCTGTTAAAAACATATACACAAAGACATAATACCCTGTACCACAGTATGGTGAAGGGTATAAAAATTCACAATATTTTTACAATTTTTTGTAAAAAATCCCCTACTAATATTGAGTCCACGCCTCTGTTGCCACCTCAGCTTAAGGTATATGTAATTAGGAGCAGCAACTTCAATCATCATCCAATCTTATCACTTAGAGAAGAAAAAAATATAATTTGAATGTTCCATAATTTGGAACAACATGTCAATCATAATTCCGATCACAGTTTGACGATGAATTGGGTTAGATGTTCCGTTGGTAACACCACCTAAGGAAGACATTTGCCAAATTGGTATTATACGTCACTAAAATTTTGGTGGGGGTACGACAACGCACCTTGCAATGTAGGGCATGACAAATGAAAATGAAATTGATTGATATCCAATACGATAACGAAGAGTTTTCAGAGTGTAGAAGAGAGAGAGAGAAAGTGGGTGATATTAATTGATAAGAAAGGGCTATAAAAACACTGACCTACATGAGGCATACAGGTGGCCAATAAACCCATTTTTCGGTCTGTTGGATTTGTTGTGTGTGTGTGTGTGTTTTTTTTTTTTGAATAAAAAATGATTTTGATTCACTAATTTCGATTCGGTTCTCGGTTCGGTAGAACAGTGTTATTTTGATTCGGCTGGAATTAATAAAAATTATAACTGCAAATAGAAGTGTGTGTACAAAATTCCCCATGACTCAATATATGCGGTGTGGGGTGGGTACTTATATGATTGATAATATTATTTCTTATCAATTATTGGTTTAGTAGTTGTTGTTGTTGTTTTCTATATCTCTTTGAGTATGAATACAAATTTGTTGAAAACTACTGACAAGATATGTTGAGGTAATGAGATGGCACAGTATATTGAAAAAAAAAGAAATCAATAAGCCTGTCTAGAACGATGTGTGTTTAATTTCATAAAAATCGGTTCGGATTTAGATATAGCTCCCATATATATTTTCGTCCGATTTTATGTAAAAGGTGCACCAAAGTCCCTATATAACTTTCGATTTGCACGAAATTTGGCATAGTGCAACGAATTAGGCCCAGAATGTTGTGTGTTAAGTTTCCTTAAAATCGGTTCAGATTTAGGTATAGCTCCGATATATATTTTCGTCCGATTTTATGTAAAAGATGCACCAAAGTCCCTATATATCATTCGATGTGAACGAAATTTGGCATAGCGTACCAAA